CAGAACCCGACATCAGGCCAAAGTCAATGTTCAACGTCAGACAGAAGTTGCATTTTTGTAAACTTTCCAATGCAGCCTATAAACAAAAAATATCAACATCTAATGTTGTTACAGCTTGACATTGTATGAACATTACCAATAGTATTTGACGTCAATATGATGTTGGTTTATTATGTTGGCTTATGGTTTATGACGTTTGACTTGCTTTCCAACAGAACCTAAAATCAACAAATTAACTTCAACATCATTTCACGTCTTTATTGGACATAATTGTCCTTAGGTGGTGGCAACCTAAATCTAACCTAATATTAACATCACATGACAATGTGTGTCTGCTGGGTAGTCCCTGGTTGTAGAGATTGGAAGTGTTGCAACAAATGTAGCAGTTAGAGTGGCAGACAAATGCAGTAGTATCTGGATGCAGCCTTGATGATGCATGCTAAAAGCTGCACATCTCAGTGATGCAATGTCAAACACAATGCACTCGATGGAGCTAGTGACATCACTTTGAGGGATAGGGTTAGGGGTGGGGTTAGGTGAGTGCATTAAAAAGTATTTGATGTAGTTCAGATGCACCAGGTCTGCATCCAGACCCCTATAATATGCCAAAACGCCATTAAAATAAGATGAGGTACTGTACTATGCAAAAATGATAGGCCACTAATGTTTCACCAACAAATAATAAAATAAAATGTAATTGTGCACTTCAGAATTGAATAAACTAAATCGACCGTAGTGTATCACTTTGTTTGTGAATGGGTGTGTATGGGTGTTTCCCAGTACTGTGTTGCGGCTGGAGGGGCATGCACTGCATAAAACCTATAACTGAATAGTTGTCCATTCATTCCGCTATGACTCCCTCTAAAATAGAGTCTAAGCCAAAATGAATGAATGAATGAATGTGGACCTGTGCACAGTAACTTGTAGTTACATTGTGCTGTTTGGTAGTCCCCTTTTTTTTTTTTTAGCAGTATTTATAATAAGAAACTAGTTGCTATGGATTCAGGTTCCATTCGTTGTTTTTATCAATTAACTTGTTTGTCACTGAGCCAGTGTTGCTAATTAGGATACAAATATGTGTGGTTCACAAACTGTTAATCATTAAACTGCTGGCTGTTAAAACTAAACTTCATCTGGTAGATTGCAGGTATTTGTAAATATCCGATCTGTTACATAGTTGAATATGTCAAATTTATTGCATAACTCAAGCAGATGATGCTGCTGCTATTAAACATTGTTTGCATAATCAACTGAGTCAATGCATTGGTGAAAAGATATGGCCAGTTTACACTGAATAGTACAGTACGGTACGGTACGGGTCACCTTTATCAGGCTTGCGTTTCCACTGCCAAAAGGGTACCAATGAAAGGCATGGTGTACAACAAAAAGTTTCAGTCGACGTCATTCTTGTTTGAGGAAATGTCAGAGTAAAGCTGTACAGGTCGTTCACATATCATATGAGAAGCACTTCTCACAAAAAAGATGTTTTATACACATAAATACTTGTGTATAAATGTGCATTACTAACCTTTCTATGAACATAATTTTATAATAAATGCAGATCAATGATAGTGTGAAAAAGCCTACTGTATTGTCTGCAATTATATAAAATAAATAATAAATAAATAAATAAATGTAACCTATATGAACACATACAGACCCCTACAGTCTCTGATATGTTACCAATTACAGAAAAACTACACACAGTATACATTTAGTTCTTATTTGGCTTCAAAAACAACATGCAACAAACAGCCTACAGTCAGTGCAAACCTCTCATCTGTATCTTTAATCTTCACCAGCACACGTAACCTCTGTCAGAGAGTAATTCTGTCACTCCGAGTTCATAATAGTCCAAAAGGTAATGATAATAGTTAAACGTGGCAGTTTGTTCATGTTTTATGTTGCTGAAACAATTAATTGTGCCGTTTCAGCAACATCGTTTGTTTTTTCCGGCTTCTCCTTGGTTTTTTAGCACTTCCCTCTCGCGTTTGCCCATTTCTGAAAGGATCGGATGTCAGAAGCACTTCAATAATCACATGCATGTTATTGTCCTCAGGTCTTGAAGTTTGTTATTTCAAATATAGATGTGTAGCGAGCTCTATGAAGAAAGTGAAACCGCTCATACTTTAGATCAGTGGTTCCCAACCTGGGGTCCGCGCCCCCCTAAGGGGGGCACCAGAGTTCACAAGGGGGGCGCGGGAGAGGATAAGTGTTGAGGTAGAAAAAGGCATAAAAATGCTCCACTGTTATATAGGGCTGTACAATTAATCGAAAATCCGATTTCGATTTCAAACGATTATAAAAAAGCATTAATCGAGATAAATGATTATTGCATCATATACCGCCACCTTTACAGTTGTACACGTGTTGCTCTTAAAAGCGCGAAGGAGCGCGTGCTTATGTGTGTGTGCAGCAGGCACACGCAGTCAGAAGCATGCGGCCGGTCAGCATTCGCTCTCATTCGCAAACTGAGAAGAGCAGAGGAGCGCAGACATCTAAAGTCATTAACGTGAGCGCTTTAATGGTCAAATAGGTGTCACAACGCGGTGTTTAGTGATTATTTATATTAACCCTCATTTGTGTAATAAACAAACGAGTTGAGAATCAAAAGACACGTGAAAGAGAAACCAAAGAGACAGCGAGAAATATTCCTACTGCCGCCTGTTTCTATGATTATTAATCAAACAACTAGAAAATCCCTCACTAGTCTTGACTGAAGGACTGCTGTAGCTAAAGTGTTTTTCTTACAGTGAAGATGCTTAAAGCACAGTTTGTTTAATATTTTTGTTCTATTGTATTTATTTCTCTTTCCTTTGCAGGGTGGAAAATATTTCTGAACATAATAGTTTTGATATCTCATGTCTAATTACTGATTTCTTTTATTTTTGCTATGATGACAGTACATAATATTTTACTAGATATTTTTCAAAATACAAGCATTCAGATTAAAGTGCAATTCAAAGGCTTAATTAGGGTAATAAGGCAAGTCATTATATAACAGTAGTTTCTTCTGCAGACAATCAAAAATATTTATTGCTTAAGGGGGCGAATAATATTGACCTTAAATTGGTTTCAAAATATTTAAACCTGCTTTTATTCTAGCTAAAATAAAACAAATAAGCCTAGAAGAAAAATATTATAGGAAATACTGTTAAAATTCCTTGTTCTGTTAAACATAATTTGGGAAATATTTATAAAAAAAAAAAATTCTCAGGAGCGCTAATAATATTGACTTTAACTAATAATCGTTTTGAATAATCGTGATTACAATTATGACCAAAATAATCTTGATTATGATTTTTCTCAAAATCGAGCAGCCCTACTATTAAATATGTATTTTTAATAGAAAAAAAAAATAATAATAAAAAAAAATAATAATATATATATGTATATATATATATATATATATATATATATATATATATATATATATATATATATATATATATATATATATCAAAACACATGCTTAAAATTCCAACATAATAGTAAAAATTATTAAAATAAATAACTTTAAATAATTATTTAAATTTTGCTCACTCACGCAATGTGCTTGTCAATGTGTCGTAAAGGTAAAATCAAAACAAAATCGGCAAAGAAACGTAAATGCAGTGATTCTTCAGTATGACAGTATAATTCTAATTCTTCAGATTAGACAGTATGACAAAGCCTACCTAAATTTTGGTTTTATTGAAGGCCAAGACAAGTTAAAACTGATTGATTTATATTTTCTATACATATTATATATTAATATTACACAAACACACACATACAGTATATATATATATATATATATATATATATATATATATATATATATATATATATATATATATATATATAGTACATATGGGTGTGCGTGCGTGTGTATTTAAATGGTGGGGGGGCTCCAATTTTGTATATGTTCATGGGGGGGGCCCCTAAAAAAAAGGTTGGGAACCACTGCTTTAGATGACCTTGTAAACAACTACATGGCACAGAGTAGATTGTGCTGTTCTTCTTGGCTTTGTGACAGTTCATAATGATGATAACAAGGTTGTCAAGCTCGGGTCGACCATGGGTTGTTATTATATGTATATATTATTACGATGTAATGTCTCAGCTCTGTATTTAAAAATGTTGCTTCCTTTGTTTTCATTCTTCTGCTTATGCACGGGCAAGTGACGTATCTCTGTAAACCAATAGCGCTCAGCTGCACATCTTGTTATGCCTTTTTTGTGCTAGGAGCCCTTCCAAAAAGGTACCCAAAAAGTGGTACGGTACCAGACGGTTTACTTTTTGGTACAGTGGAAATGGCCATAAAAGCCTACCAAACCATATCATACCACACCACTCAGTGGAAACGATCCAAAATATGTCAGTTGATTAAAGGTTTGCGTAGAAATGTCATGCTCCCTCATAATTAATTTAATTTTTTTTTTTTTGTTTATGCTGTTTATTTTGATACACTTTAAATGAAAGTATTTGGTATTTAATTAAAAATACATTTTAATGTGTTTTTGCCCAATGCTGCGAGTGTAGATGTGCATTAAAAAAAACTATTACAACATTATGCCAATATTAAACTTTTTATTTTTGCAATAAACCGAACTGATCAGCAGTGAAAGCTGTTCTCAAAATTGTTTGATTTAATTGTTTAAATTAAAATAACAACAGTTGGTTTTAAATACAAATCTTCTTAAGTAATAAGAAAGTTGAAACCAAATTAGAATGTAAACATTTGACACTGAAGCAATGAAAATGTTTACATTTTGTAAGATTTCAATAAAAATTCATTTCATTTTGATTTCATAAAAGTATTCTAAATTAAACATAAATTAAGTCTTGATACTCTTTAAAAAAACATGAAAAACTTTTGAGAAGTCTGCACAATTAATCAACTGAACCGATCTGTTACACAAAGTGTGCACAAATGCCAAAGATTGTTGGTAAAATAAAAATATAAATATTAATTAGTCACACTGTCAAGAGAAACAACATTGAAATACATCACTCACCTGTCCACGCCGATGGCTGTGAGTGTAAATACTGAAACATACACCGTCACAGGCTGAATGAGGAACACCAAGTAACACATGAATCTTCCAAACACCCAGCCACGAGGGTTAAACGCATACGCCAGGGTAAAGGGTACACAGGTGGCACACATCAGCATATCAGAAAACGCCAGGTTACCGATGAAGAAGTTGGTTACGTTGTGCATTTTTTTGGTTTGGCAGATGACGTAAAGTAGCAGGTAGTTCCCAAAAACTCCCACCAGGACCACAAGGGCATAGCAGGGGATGATGAGAGGTTTAAAAGACTGAAGGAGCTCCACGCCAACAAACTGCGGATTGCGTTTAGTCGAGTTGGTTGATTGCAGCATGACTTCATAGATTCGCCCAACACTGGAATTCTCCATTGTGACGTTTTCCAGGCAAGACGAGGCTACAGGAGTGCTGAGCCATTCTCCACCACAGCCATCCATCCTGGAAAACTGCTTTTAGAGACCTGAAGGGTGACAGTTGTGCCATATTAATAAGGAAAGGGATATGTTTTGGTTTGCTTTTTTAAAGTGAACTCATTAGCTGCATTTTATACCAGTAATGGATTGGCTGAAATGTCTGCACTGCAAACAAAACTTTTTCTTACTCAGTTTTTGTCCTGTTTCTAATTCAGATATCTAAACATTCTTAAATCAACGAGCGTTTCCAAGACAAGTAAAAAATATTATCTTGTTTTCAGAACCAATGTGTTTAAATTAAGTGAGTTTTTCCTTATTACAAGAAAAAAGAAATATCCTGCCAATTGGGTATTTCATAACGAAAACAAGATTATTTTGTTTACCTTACACTCTCTGAAAAAATGGTACAGTGTTATACCAAAGAAGGTTCAAACCCTTGTCACTGGGGCAGTACCTTTTTATGGAACATAATTGTACCTTAAGACAACGAAACAATTGTACCATTGCCATTTATACCTGTACAATTTGTACCATTGCAGTTTGTACCTTTAAGGACATGATTTGTATACCATGGAAAACCAAAATGTACCTGGTTGTTAAATGTATTGGGGTTTAAAACTTCAGATACAATATTGTACCTTCATCAAAGGTACAAATCTGATCTATGAAGGTACCACAGTTATAAGACCCTATGGACCTTAACAGTGTCAAATGTGTTCCTTCAAGAACTTTTTAAAGGCATTTTGCTGTATCCAAAATGTGTCAATTTATTTTCAGTAAATATAAAACATTAAATACATTTTTAAACAATGATTTTAAAAAAAAATTATTTTTGTGTATATGCACCTTTTCCATTTACAATAAAGAGTAAAAAATACTTTAACAAAAGTCAAATGATATTTTTTTGCTAAACATTTCACAACACATTTCACAAAAACTTTTTGCGTGAAACATGAAAAATAAGGTTGCGCTGGTCGGAAAATAGCAAAAAAATCACACCAAACACATCTTGCGCTTTATTGCGCTGGGTATTGTGATAGGGAAAACAAGATTATTTTGCTTACCCCAGTGGCAGAATATTTAGCTTGCTTTAAGGAAAAAACTCCCTTAATTGACATGATTTTTGAAACAAGAAATCTCTTTTACTTGTCTGGAAAACACCTCTTGATTTAGGAATTGTTTGATATTTGGAGTGGAAAAGAAACTTAAAAAAAAAATAAGTAATTTTTTACAGTGTGTGAGATGAAAGAAAGCCACTCAAGTATGATCTGTGTGGGTGTGTGGTGCCAAACATGCAGTTTTCACCATATTGGTGCTATTTCATCATTAAAGTTAGGCTGACACATATAATGAAGTGACTTTTTCGAACTTTAATGAGCACACAGGCACAATTTTTTCCCTGAAACTTCCTGTTCTCTATACCAAATCACTTTCCTCACAGAGGTACTTCTGAACAGTAGAGATGCGGAAATCACTCCTAAAAGCCTTTTATTACAATCTAGACTTGCCTCTTAAAAACTGCTTTCTGCAGTCCTCTCATCAAAACGAATCAGCGTGACGTGAGATTTTGTCTGTTTTCCTGAATATACAATAGGCTCTCTCAATACAAACAGCAGTAAACAGAAACTCTAAAGGAGACTAATGAAAGCCAGCATGATTTTTTTTCTTTTTCTCAAAGATGCATCGCGGCTGCAATCACACATGGGCTTCACTATGTTGCTATTGAAATGCTAATGAAGCTCATTCGCTAGTTCCCCCTCTAATTAAGTGAGTAAATGGTTCATAGATTACTCATAAATGCTCTTTGGTCTTTCCTGTAACAAGCTACTAAAAAGCAGAGATTGTTTTTTTTTGTGTGTATTTTCTTTCTCTCTCTTTACCAATCAGTCAGTTGTTACAAGAGTAGGAGACTGCTCAATTCATTTGTTTCTCAAATTTGTATTTTACTGTGATTGTCGTCTTCAATATTTTACCCTCTCAATTGCACCCCTTGAATGGTAGACAGATAAGACAAATGAAGCTTGGAATTAAACAACATCACGCTTCACAGATTAAACATGTTTTGACAGAAATAAAATTGCCATGTTTGATCTATTTAATTTTCATCAGAATGATAAATCTATGCTTGTCAATTGCAAGGATGCATATTAAAACTGCATATCCATGCTGCCATGTCATCCCCCCAGTCTATAGGCATCTAACACTGAATAATCCTGAGTTGGTAGCTTGTTCAGTTTAATTTTATAGTGCATAAAAACATCAAAAGTTCAAAATTGTAAATAATCATCACACCATAGATGCCTTTATTGTATTGGATAAATATATATATATATATATATATATATATATATATATATATATATATATACATTTACTGTCTGAAATTATAATTTCAATAATATATTTGTTCCAGGATCTAAAAATGTATGACAGACTTTAGCTATGTATACTTATCAGATCTAATTTTAGCACTTAATGCTGAGAAATACTAGCCTAGAAACCTTACCGTACGTTCACACCGAAAGCAGCGAGAGCGTCAAAGTAGCCGGAAGTCATTCATTTTCAATGAGAGCCGGCGGCGAAAGGCGGTGATAAGCGGCGAGGAGCAGCGCGGCGCGTCTTCGCCGGTGTGAGCGTCAAGGAGAGTTGAAATGAAGTCAACTTTATGGTAATGAGCTATGACGCGGTGAAACGACGGCGGCAAGCAATCAGAATGAAGACGTCCATCGCTTGATAGCAGTTCAGAGAGCACAGACCAGTGAACTTTGGTTCCAACCACAATTGTTCCCAAGGGTTTGATTATTGCGGTCGCCGGATTTCCAATTATTTACAATTTTTTCCTACAGGAACATACATTAAATAAGTTACTGGCGAGCTACTGATGTTCATTAATGTTATATAAATTTATCTTAAAAAAGCGGGAATCTCACGCGATGTGACAGTACAAAACAGTATTGCTGCTTCAGGATATTTCAGACATATGGACACATATTGGATAATTAGAGCAAAGCCACACCTCACGCAACTTGATCTTCCATTGTTGTATGAATTTGATAAGAAGTGCGCAACATTTTCACGCTAGAAACATGTTTTATGCAGGAATGTAACTGATATGCTGCAACGGCTCCTTTAAACATGAGATCAATGTAGCGAGTTTTGACGCTCTCGCCGCAGGAGCTGAAGGCAAAGAGCGTTGTCGCCAGGGCGGCCAGAGCGACCTTGGACGCACTCGCCGCTTTCGGTATGAACGTACGGTTAGAAAGACTGGTCAAGGAAGGATACATCCTCACTATACATCCTTCTATTTGAGAAGCACTCTAAAATGTCAACATATTTAGCGAGCTCTAGCCTTTATTAAGCACATTTCAGGAAGAGATGCCCCAGGGTGTCCTCTTGTCCAATAAGATGATCAATCAATTAACAACCCTTCACTGGACATCATTAAGCGAATACCAAAACAATCTTTACACATTAAGTTTCTAAAAGACCTTGCTAGTGTGCTTATTTGTGCTGCCTTCTTGACACACAGACTTAAGTGTTAAAAAGAAACCGTTTGTCAACATTAGTCGTTAACATCATACGCTGTGAATCCCAAAAAGTTAAGGAAACTTAAACCATTTGAGGAAACTGATTGCAACAAACCAGTAACGTTCAAAATCTAATCCTAATGAGTACTGTTAACTCAATCCATTTAAGTAAACAAAGCAATTTGAGCTCAGTAAAACCCAATAAATGAAGAGAACTCAAACCAACTGAGTACTGTAAAACCCAATAAGTTAAGGCAACTCAAACCGTTTGAGGCAACCGAATGCTACAAACCATTTGAGTTAAAAACTAAACTATATGAGTATCGTGAACTTACTCCAGTTAAGTTGAAGTAATGAGGTATTTAATTAACTAATTACCTTTAACACTGAGTTCAAAACTTTTCAAATGAATAGAATTAACTTTCAGTCAATTTTAAATTAATTACACTCATTTCATTTAATAAAGATAACTGTTGGGTTTTACAGTATACAATTGTAATAATGTATGACATCATATGTGCCTTTTTTATTTCTATGATTTTCTCAAAAATACCACCAAAATAAATGTAAAATGACTGCAAAACAAGCAGGCCTGTAGCCAGCCTGCTGAAAAGAGTGGTTCTTTTTGATCAAAAGGTTGACCTTTTTGGAGTTATTTGCCTTATTTTATATTTAATTATATGATTTATTGACATTTTAAGCACTACTTTTAGCTGGATTTACTTGCCGGATTGTCACCATAACCACATTTTTTTGATGGTCCACAATGTGTCCTTAAAATTTAGAATAAAGAAATATAAATAAATGCTTATTTTTGAAATAGAAATTTATATTATTAAAATTAGGAATCTGTTAAAGTTTTAAATTGAAAAGCATAGCCTATTGTCATTTATTAGGCAAATAACAAACTGGGGTGTGTTTCACAAACAACGACATAACTCACGACTGATCTATCCTAGTAAGATGCATCCATTTGGAAAAAGAATGATGTAGTGACAAGTGTTTCCCAAAACCTGTAGTTTCTGTCGCAGATCCATCGTTTAAGCCACTTTAGTTATAATGTAAAACGCCTATTTTGATGCTCTAAACGGGGTGGAGTAACAACTTCTTTAGAGATGAACATAATTTCTTTGCGCAAATTATATTGTTTTACACGCACATGCAAAAAAAAAACAAAAAAAAAAACAATATTAGTTTTGGTAAAAACATGCATATGTTTTTCATAATAATTGAAATATATGTAAATGGCACATATAGGGCTGATGTTTCCTTTACAAATATCATTGAGAACATTACATATTCTATTTTAAAACTTAAAATCCCTTAAAAAAGCTAAAACGTATTCTAATATCATATATAAATTATATAAATAAAAAAGTAAAGAGTCTATTTATTAAAAAAATTAAATGTAATATTTATTATTTATTTGAAATGAAAAAATCCTACTTTAATAATATTGATGATGATGATGATGATGATGATTATTAATATTATGATTATTATTAAGTAGGATATTATTT